GGTTTTAAGGGTTTATTACAACCTTTTAGTGATGCTTTAAAATTAATTTCAAAAGAATGATTGTTTTTAGATTATAGTAATTATTTATTTTTTATAATAAGACCTTTATTTATGTTTTTATTATCTATATTATTGTGATTAATTTATCCTTGAATAAATTTATATAAAATAAATTTAAGTATAATTTTTATAATTATGTTATTAGGTATAAGAGTTTTTCCAATTTTTTTTTAATATAATATAATTGGTCGTCGGATGTCCCTCTGGACGTCGCTCGGGTCGATCCTGCGGGTGGTGGCGGTCAGCAGGCCCGGATCGTCTTGGACGTTGTTGCGGCTGGTTCCGCGGCTGCGGACTTCGGTCACGTTGCGTCCGAGGGCCTCGACGTCGGCGGCTGGACGTTGAATGGACCGGCGGCGAAACCTGCGCCTGTGCTGGTGCTGGTACAGGTTTGGGTCGGTGGTTATTCGATGCAGCGCCGATAGGTTTCAAGATCATCGATTCGAGAATTCTCTCCGCATTCCAGCGGAGTACGTATCGTCCCTGGGGCACTTTACACCTGTATTTCCTTGCCCCGTTTGGAATGTGTCCAGGTATTCTTAACGTGCAGTGAGCGAGAGGAATAAGGATCTCATCCCGAGCCGGCGCTCGCTCGCCTCGTCTTACTGCTTCTTGACGCGGAGGAGCCCTCTCGTCCTGGTGAACTGCTGTCGACGTTTCGACAGACGGGCGAGGGGTCCTCACTTCGCACGGCACCCCTTCCGCATCCTGGTCCGCGGTGTCCATCGGGGCTGGATTTTTTCGGGTCGTTCCCGCCACGTAAGCCAGAGTCAAGCATTGATTAAATTTCTGGTTAAAGGCGGTGTCCTCACTGGGCGCCATTTCTTCCTCAGCAATCATCTCGCAAACGACCGTCTCCTGCACTTTTTCCGTCACCGGTACATTCGCGTCGTTCGATATCTTAGGCCGTACTAACCGTTTAACCAACGGGTTTTCGAAATCAGCAAATCCGAAATTCCACGAATGTACCTTCGGGAAAGTCTAAAGAGGTGGTACCTCGATATTACAAGTGGCAAAAAGGGTACACAAACATCGATCGAATGATTGATGCTGTACTTCTCACCTGTTTCCATCGCTTTGGATACCCGTGTAACGGCCGATATCAGAAAAACAGCGTTACCGCCGATCGTTCGATATTATTATTATTCTTGATGAATTTGATGCGAACGGGAATTTAACCGACAGCCAATTTACACATCCGCGTGATCGGCCGCTTGTATGTGTTTTTTGCTGTACGGACCTCGACTACTCTTACATTTTCATCGGTTCCCGGGAAAACTTTTTCAACTCTCCCCATCTCCCAATGATTAGGAGGAACGAGAGGATTTTGCACCAGCACCAAATCGCCAGGCTGCAGTTGCTCTTGGGTGGTTTGCCATTTATTTCTCTGTTGGAGATAGATTAAATAATCCCTCGTCCAATGTCTCCAGAGTTGTTCGTGGAATTTTTGTAGAACTCTCCAACGCGTAAGCCGCGTGATCTTTTCTGTCTCTACAGATTCCTTCGGAAGCGCATTCAGCGGACCGCCCACCAGAAAGTGACCAGGTGTGAGGGTCGCGAAATCATCCGCGCTATCGCTTAACGGGGCAATCGGTCGAGAATTCAAGCTCGCCTCGATTTTACAGAGCAACGTCTGCATTTCTTCCCCGGTCGGTGTGAAATCTCCCATGATCCTTTTAAGATGATGCTTCACCGATTTCACACCGGCTTCTTGCATTCCACCGAAATGCGGTGCACTGGGCGGATTGAATTTCCATCGTACTCCCAATCCACTGCATTTATCGCGCCATTCCGGCGAGTTACAACAACGATTGAATTCTCGTGTTAATTCATTGTTCGCTCCAACAAAGTTTGTCCCGTTATCGCTGAATACGCAGGAAGGGACTCCTCTTCGCGCAATGAAGCGATCGAATGCAGCCAAAAATGCACTTGTCGAGTAATCGTGCACGAGTTCGACATGAACGGCTCGCGTTGCATAGCAGACGAACACCGCTATGTACGCCTTATGCGCCGTTTTGCCTCGGCCGGCGGAGTCTCGGACTTGAAAAGGTCCGGCATAATCCACTCCGCAATTCGTAAATGCACGCGCCGGACGACACCGTTCCGGTATCAGATTCTGCATTATTTGTACCGATGGCTGAGCACGCCATCGAGTACATTCCACGCACTGATGAATTACCGTACGCGTTGCATTACGACAGCCAATAATCCAAAATCGCTGTCTGACGGTGGCCATCGTCAGTTGCATTCCTCCATGCAGCGTATTCAAATGACACTGCCGAATTATCGATGTAGACACATCGTGCTTCGGCAGGATTATCGGAAACTTGGTTTCCCATGCGATGACCGCATTTTTCAGTCGTCCGCCGACTCGCAGAACTCCTTGCTCGTCTAAAAACGGATTCAAACTGATTAACTGCGACCGCGCAGGAATCGCACGATGTTCTTCTAAGCATCGGCATTCCGTTTCAAAATGAATACGCTGGAGGTGCCGAGCGATTCGATCTGTTGCATCCTGCAACTCAGCGAAATCGAGCGCCGTGTTATCCTTTTTCCTGTCGCCCTTCAGTATCCTATAAAACCGGATACAATAGGCCACCACATGAAGGAGACGACTCCACTTGGAGAAGCGGGAAAGCAGCTCCCATTCTCCCTTCTGGGTGGTGACGTGGGCGTAGGTCACACGTTTTCCATCGTCAGTATCTATGGAAGCAGGGGTTACAGGCCACTCTGCTTCACATTTTTGCAGCCAACTTGGCCCTTGCGTCCACAGCTTTGAGTTCAAAAGCTCCTCTGCCTCGACTCCTCTAGAGTTCAGGTCGGCAGGATTGGAACGCGTGGGAACATGCCGCCAAACCGCGGTGGGCAACGTGGTCTGGATTTTTGACACCCTGTTTGCTATAACCAGCTTCCAGGTCGACGGATGTTTTTTAATCCACGCGAGTGTAATCGTGGAATCCGTCCAGCAGAAAACACGCTCCGCTTGTACTGCAAGCGAACTCGTCACATGCTTTAACAGCTCGGCGAGGAGGAGGGCACCGTTCAGCTCCAGAACAGGAACGGTAAGCGTCTTGATGGGAGCTACTCGCGATTTTGCTATTAACAAAGATGTGACCACTTTGTTTCTCGCCGTGGTTACTCGTATGTACACGGCGGCGGCATACGCAGCGAGCGATGCATCACAGAAGCCGTGCAACTCCACGGAGATGACATCTGCTCCTATTCCAATCCATCGCGGAATTCGCAAATTATTCAATTTGATCCAGTCCTCACAGAAATTGTTCCATGTTCTGTGGGTTTCCATCGATACCGACTGGTCCCAGTGTATCTTTTCTAACCATTGTGATTGCATTAATATCTTTGCTCTAACGACCACCGGTGATAACCAACCAAGCGGATCGTAGAGCTTCGCAATCTCGGAAAACAAAGAACGCTTCGTCGGTGGAGTTGCGGACGGTTGAAACCTGGTCAAATTGAAATAAAAGTAATCCGCCGATGGCACCCATCGTAAACCGAGTACCTTTAACTCTGAATACGCAGGAAGGGACTCCTCTTCGCGCAATGAAGCGATCGAATGCAGCCAAAAATGCACTTGTCGAGTAATCGTGCACGAGTTCGACATGAACGGCTCGCGTTGCATAGCAGACGAACACCGCTATGTACGCCTTATGCGCCGTTTTGCCTCGGCCGGCGGAGTCTCGGACTTGAAAAGGTCCGGCATAATCCACTCCGCAATTCGTAAATGCACGCGCCGGACGACACCGTTCCGGTATCAGATTCTGCATTATTTGTACCGATGGCTGAGCACGCCATCGAGTACATTCCACGCACTGATGAATTACCGTACGCGTTGCATTACGACAGCCAATAATCCAAAATCGCTGTCTGACGGTGGCCATCGTCAGTTGCATTCCTCCATGCAGCGTATTCAAATGACACTGCCGAATTATCGATGTAGACACATCGTGCTTCGGCAGGATTATCGGAAACTTGGTTTCCCATGCGATGACCGCATTTTTCAGTCGTCCGCCGACTCGCAGAACTCCTTGCTCGTCTAAAAACGGATTCAAACTGATTAACTGCGACCGCGCAGGAATCGCACGATGTTCTTCTAAGCATCGGCATTCCGTTTCAAAATGAATACGCTGGAGGTGCCGAGCGATTCGATCTGTTGCATCCTGCAACTCAGCGAAATCGAGCGCCGTGTTATCCTTTTTCCTGTCGCCCTTCAGTATCCTATAAAACCGGATACAATAGGCCACCACATGAAGGAGACGACTCCACTTGGAGAAGCGGGAAAGCAGCTCCCATTCTCCCTTCTGGGTGGTGACGTGGGCGTAGGTCACACGTTTTCCATCGTCAGTATCTATGGAAGCAGGGGTTACAGGCCACTCTGCTTCACATTTTTGCAGCCAACTTGGCCCTTGCGTCCACAGCTTTGAGTTCAAAAGCTCCTCTGCCTCGACTCCTCTAGAGTTCAGGTCGGCAGGATTGGAACGCGTGGGAACATGCCGCCAAACCGCGGTGGGCAACGTGGTCTGGATTTTTGACACCCTGTTTGCTATAACCAGCTTCCAGGTCGACGGATGTTTTTTAATCCACGCGAGTGTAATCGTGGAATCCGTCCAGCAGAAAACACGCTCCGCTTGTACTGCAAGCGAACTCGCCACGTGCTTTAACAGCTCGGCGAGGAGGAGGGCACCGTTCAGCTCCAGAACAGGAACGGTAAGCGTCTTGATGGGAGCTACTCGCGATTTTGCTATTAACAAAGATGTGACCACTTTGTTTCTCGCCGTGGTTACTCGTATGTACACGGCGGCGGCATACGCAGCGAGCGATGCATCACAGAAGCCGTGCAACTCCACGGAGATGACATCTGCTCCTATTCCAATCCATCGCGGAATTCGCAAATTATTCAATTTGATCCAGTCCTCACAGAAATTGTTCCATGTTCTGTGGGTTTCCATCGATACCGACTGGTCCCAGTGTATCTTTTCTAACCATTGTGATTGCATTAATATCTTTGCTCTAACGACCACCGGTGATAACCAACCAAGCGGATCGTAGAGCTTCGCAATCTCGGAAAACAAAGAACGCTTCGTCGGTGGAGTTGCGGACGGTTGAAACCTGGTCAAATTGAAATAAAAGTAATCCGCCGATGGCACCCATCGTAAACCGAGTACCTTTAACTCTGAATCTTCGAACAGAGACAGGTCGACGGCGTGTGAATGCTCACTTATCGGGATGTTTCGCAGCAAGTCCGCTGAGTTTCCCGCCCACTTTCTCAAGTGGAAACCTCCTCGTTGCAGTAATTGGCACACCTGATTCCGAATGAGGTCCACTCGTTTTTTATCTGGTGCACTGATGAACACATCATCGATGTAAACGTCCTTCTCGATCACGGGAACTGCGAGAGGGAACTCCGCTCCTTCCTCACGCACGAGTTCGAGAAGGGTACGCATTGACAAATATGGGGCACACGCCGTTCCATACGTCACGGTGTTCAATTCAAAAGCCGTAAGCTGTTCGGTTTTTGGTGCACGCCACAAGATGCACTGATAGCGTCGGTCTTCCGGGGCAACGAGTATCTGGCGGAACATCTTCTCGATGTCCGCTACCATTACGAATTGGTACAACCGCCAATTCGTTAGGATAATGGTAATGTCCCGCTGCAATTTTGGCCCGATATGAAGAAGGTCATTCAGCGAGCGGCCGCTTGACGTGACACTTGACGCATTGAAAACAACTCGCAGCTTAGTGGTCATGCTTTCCGCACGAACTACAGCCCTGTGCGGGATGTACAGTCGGGACGGCTCAATTGACCTGAGCTTCGTCATATGTTCCATCGACTCGTACTCCGCCAGGAATTCGCTGTACTGCGTTACGAGTGTCGACTCCTGGTCCAGCTTTTTCCGCAATCTCGTCAACGCGGAGAGAGCACATCGTAGGGAATCTCCCAGCTCAATCTCCGGATGCGGTACCTTAAAGGGAAGGCGGACGACGAATCGACCTTCGTTCGTCCGCTGGACCGTTCTAGAGAAATGTGCCTCGCACTCTTCCTCTTCCAATGTTTTCGGAGCCTTCATGGGTACAGCTTCCACTTCCCAAAACCTCCGAATCGCTTCGTCCAGCGATTCTAGTACGTTACACTGCAACGCTCTGACATTACGTGCAGTTGTGGCACCTTTGCATGGTCCGGAAAGCACCCATCCAAACATTGTATCCTGTGCGATCGGAGAGTTCTCGTCTATCCGACGGATGCCTCCTTTCAAAATGAGCGCATATATATCAGCTCCTAACAGCATATCGATACGCCTACTCGATATAGGCTCGGGATCGGCCAGTTTCAAGTCGTTGAACAGTTCGTTCAAGGGCACACTGACCTGTGGCGGAGTGTATGCGGTTATTTTTGACACTACGAGGGCTCTCGCTCGTAGCATCGACTCCTCGCACTCGACACTGCCTAGTCCCACTTCGACGCTGTATTTTAGGGTCGCGGTTCGGTCACCGCCAAGTCCAGTCACTACCGCTGGACTTTTATGTCGTACGAGCTGCAGATCATCTACCAAGCTCGTAGAGATGAACGAGGCCTCGGACCCCTGGTCAAGGAGTGCCCGAGCGACTCTCGATTTTCCATTGGGCCCGTGTATACGCACGAGGGCCGTCGCAAGCAACACTGCATTTCCCACTTTGCTTGACATTGCACCGCAATGAGACGACACCGCGTTGTTTGACGTCGGCTTGGAATTTATTCTTTTCTTCGCAAACCTACTGTTTGACCGTCTGGTATCGCTCGTGCCGGCATTGCTCCGAGATGCAGGCTGCGTGTTACTCGCTGCACTGGCTTGCTCGAAATGAAGCAATGTATGATGTCTCCCATCGCATTTCTGACATAGAGTTGACGATGGGCAAGCGTTTGCTAAATGCTTAGACGACAAGCACAGGATGCAGTGCTGGCTCGTCTTTGCGTACTTATACCGTTCGCCAGGAGTAAGTAGCATGTATTGCTCGCACTCACGTAACGCATGAGGTTTGCGGCAATAAAAACACCTTTCTTCCGGAGCTTCCTCATTCCTTAAGGTGTTTGTATGGGAACGCACTCGATTTCTCTCAGTGCGTGATCGTTCGGGCTTACGAGTTACGGACTTTCCATGGACGGATCGTAAAGCACCCGCTTTCATTTCAAGAAACCGCACGAGCCTCTCGAACGTCGGGAATCGATCCGTGTCCTGGATCGATTCTTCCCATTCTAAATTTAAGCTCTCATCGAACTTCTCAGTGACTCTGTCTACGAGTAGAATGCTCCAGTATTCCACCGGGCAGTCCCATCGTCGCAGAGCTTCAACCATCTGCTGAAGATCAATGGTCACCTGTTCAATACTTTCCAAATTGTCCTTTTTAATCGTCTTGAGCTCCCGTAACGGAGCCAATAACGATTTAACAACGACTCGCTCCTTGGCGAATTGTCGTTCCAGCGTATTCCACGCTACTTGGAAATTTCTGTCACAAATTTCCAGGTTGACAATCGACCTCAAGGCGGCGCCTTCAACGCAGGTTCTCAACTGCTGCAGTCGTTGTGCGTCGGACAAATGCCGGTTGTCAATGATGACCGCCCGGAAGAGATCCCGAAAACTGAACCAGTCCCTAGGATCTCCCTTAAACCGAGGTATTTTCGTCTCGGGCAGCCTGAAGGGCGAATAGCCATAAGCTGGCGGAGGCAGTTCTGCTGCAGCTTGCGGTGGAACCGCTGCAGGTGCAGGAACTGGTGCGGGTGCGACGGGAGCTGGAGGCGGAGGCTGTAACGCAGCCAATTCCTCGTTGAAGAAATCTCGCGCGTCGTACACCGCTTCCTGCAACGTGCCGATGAAATCTTCCTGGAAATAATCCAGCTTTTCCCGATCGGCTTGGGCTACCTTGGTCAGAACTATCTCATGGCGTTCCTGGGCCTCTTGCCATGACTTTTCCAAGCCCGCTAGCCTACCGCTAAGCATCGGCACGGAAAAGCATGCTCTGCCCTTCTTCTTGACATTGGTCACCAATTTTACGATCTCCCTCTCGCATTTATCCAAATGCTGCTGGAGGAAGTCTTCGAAGGAGCCTTTACCGGCAACTGGTGGTGTACGTTGAATTGACATGTTGTCAGAGAATTCAACCTTCTCTCAACACGCTCAGAATTGAGGAACGCACTCGAATTCTGATAGTCACTTCCGATTCTCAATGCTATCCGGCTCGAAGGACCAAAATGTTAGGGATGGTGCCCTAAACTAAACTGCCGGGAATAGAGAATCGGGTTTGTAAAATAAAATGCACGCCGTCGATTTCCCTTAAACCCAAATACCGTTTATTCAATTAAACTAAGGAGTATTCAATACAAAATCGAGACGGATCAGAATATAAACTCCTGTCCCCGGTGCACTTCACCCTGTCTCTTCCTTATTAATTTCTGAAACTAGAGGGAAACGAATATGATTAAAGTGGCGTGGACTGCCGTATAATTGCGGCGGCACGATCAGAGTACAACTCTTCCTCTCGTGCCGCAAATAATTTGTAACAGCGCTGTCTTAGAAAAGTCGGAGTGTTGTAAGCACTCCGAACTGTTTCCTTAACAGCTCACGCTGGTGCACTGCGAAATACAATTCGCAGGGAGCTCGGTGACGACCACGTCGCGCCTCTCTGGTACTGTTTTAAATTCCCTAAGGAAAACCTCGGTGGGCCTACAACTGCGACCGGGGTCCCGGGCCGATACCGGTATGCCGTAACGCAGGAGGATGCACCGGTCAGCACCAGGCGTAACACCGGTTACAACTGAACGTTGCAGAGCGGGTATGTGACCACGACGACGCCGTGACAAGCTGCAATTCCGATCACCACACAGGCAAAGGGCTTCCGACTTTAAACGGTCCCGATCGAANCGGAGGTGGGGTGTAGTGGGTATTAGGGCATCAGCCCCAGAGTCCCACACACGGAGGGTGTTGACAACCTCTATGGTGCGTAAATGCATTCCTCACATCCGACATAAAAAAAAACATGCTGTAATATGTAAGAAGAATGTAATAAAGATCCTCACCAGACGTGACTGAATTTGTTCCATTTACTAGACACCGCATTTTTCAAGTATCTTCTCTTTTTTCAATTGCAGTATCTTTTCAATTCATTCCATGGCCGGTATTCAAAGTTGTTGCTTATTCTTAAGATCGTCTTAAACATTTGCTTAAGTCCTTGTTTCCCGTACAAGACAAGGACTGGAAATATAGGATACACAGAAATAACAAATGCTTCAGACGATCTTAAGATTGTCTCTGAATAGAGGCCATGTCATTCATACGAAGACTGATGCTTTACTGGAGCCAGAATTCGAAATTTCGCAAAATGGCACCACTTTGCTGTTCAAATAAGCGCGCTTTATGCCCTGCGATGTACTATACGGGGTGTCCCAGAATGCACGATTTTCCTCTGAGAGTATGCATTCCGAGACATGCATTGATAGCAGATCTGCCGACAGAATGACCGCAGACCCTACCGGCAGATCTACCATCAATCTGGCAGCAAAAACGCGCCAGATGTGACATCAGGAGCTGGCGACAGAATGACTGCAGACCGACTGCAGATCTGGCCGGCAGATCTGTCGTCAATCTACAACCATTCTGCCGTCAACCGTGAAAGCAGATCTGCCGCCAGATTTCTTGTCAGAATGACAGCAGTCTGTCATACATTATGTTAAAATTCTGCCAAATATTATTGTATATAAGGACGTTGTTTAAAAAAGGAAAAAGTTAATTTCCTAACCGCCTCTCCGGTTCGAATTAATAATCCGAAATAATAATAATCTCTGGACTATATTGATGTTCCGAGAAAGTCACCGCGAGAACGTAGCAAAAACCGCGCCGAGTTTATTGCCTGCTCGATCGTTGAAACGGTCACGAGGTTCTAATTCCGCGACCGGAAGAGTTCGAATCGTGCAGAGTGCAACGGAGTATGAAGACGCGCGAGTGACGCGTCACCTAAGTGCGAGCGAGACGGTGATATTGTCACGTAAGGGCGTGTACTTTTAAAATAATTGTTAACACTTGAAAATCACCACTGTGAACAATTGATTTATTTTCGAGATACAGAGTAGACACGCACAATAGCTCAGACGATTGCTGACTGACTCCCTAACTGACTGCTCGACTGCCCGAGGTTTTGGGTTGTTCTTATCTTACTTTCTTATGTTTCAACGCTTTAGTGACGGGCGCATATCCTACTGTGTGGTCTAATACGCAAAATGCTTCGGGTAGCATTTTAAGTAGAATTCTCAGTAGCATATCGTTGTTATGTGTAGCCTGATCGACATCCGGTTGTTATCTTATAAATTCTTTAGGAAACAAAATACATGCAGGTGCTTTAAAGGGGACCGTCACAATATCTCGCGATTGCCTACCTCGACCGAGGTGACGGATTGTTAACGAATTCTGGAGTCGACGTTATACCGTGGTGGAAGACAGTGCGAATTGTAAAGTGTCTGTCAAGTACATCCCTGCCTGGTGAAAGATAAACCGTGAATCTTCGTTTATCAAGGACGATCGACCAACGGCTGTCTCCAAGGGTCCAGTGAGAGGACGTACGTGAAGGAGCAGCCACCAAGTTCGCGGGATAGCAAAAACGAGCCGCATTTGTGACAGGTGCCCCTGCACAATTGTATTGCGTTGCACCGTTGGGCCAGAGTCTAAACGCATACCAAAAATCATAGTTAAAAAAATTTAAAAAGATGAAACTGTTGATAAGATTAAATAACATGTATCGCATTATTTGATCAAGAACAAAACTATTCTAACAAATAAACTTGTTAATAGTAAAGATAATTTAACTATCAATTATATTAATGAACAAAGTGTAAAAAATT